AGAGTGTCTAGGACCTCCAACCAATAGGATCCATGCCCTGTATGCTGTATTATAACATAGAAACCTCCTCTGGGTATTTCTATGCATAGAAAGGATTGGAGGAAGGTGATACTAAAACCAGAGAGTCCATTTTGGAAGCTATAGTCCAAGACAAAGACTATGATGGAGACAGTAAATGAGAGTAAAAAGGAATGAGTTGGAGATCTATTTTGGATTTAGAACATATGTTTCAAAGGGATTGAAGATAAAAAGTAAAGAAGAAGCTAGAGTTGAGAACTGGATTGATGACAGTGTCATCTTCAGAGCTGGGAAGACTGGGGAAAGTGGAAAGTAGAAAGTTCACTCAGTGCCTCTCAAACTCAGCACATAGCAGGGTCCTCTGGAGGACTTATGAAAACACAGATTTCTGTGTAGCCTCCTGGATGGATAGAGGAAGTCTGGGATTGGACCTGAGATATTTATTTACTTATATATTTATTGAGAATTTGCATTTCCATCCAGCTCTCTGGAGATGCTAATGTTCCTGGTTGGGACAACACTTAGAGAACCACAAAGCAGTAATTACAAAACACAGGAGAGTATAACTTAGCTCCTTGTAAAGTTTCACTGACCTCTTCCTGAACCTCACTCTGAACTCTCTCTACCTACTGCCTCTTCTCCCTCTCCTTTTTACTTCCTTGTTCTCCAAGCTCTTTTCTCCTCTTCTCTCCTAGGAGCAACTTCTCTCTTTTTTCTGTCCTGCATAGGGATTCAGTGAGCTTTTGAATTTTTAATTTTGGGCTTCTCCAACAACCAATGCTTTGAGGATTACACACTGTTTGATAACCATTCTCCTTCAGATAAATTCTGGGGTCAGCTTTTAAGATAATCTCTTTTTATTTCCTTATCTTAATACACACTGAGATCTCCCAAGAGATATTTACAGAATGAGAGAAAGAGGTCATCTCCTCATTTCATTCATTGTATAGCTTTACCCAAAAAAAGCAATCTGTATGAGGAACTGCAAGCATGCAACCACATACTCTGTAGCCCAGCAGTTACCCACAGATTTGTGATTACAAATGCTAATCATATCAGAGACTCATGAAGCAATTGGAAAGTAGGCCAAACCAGCCGTGGTACTATAACCAAGTCAAAAAGTTAACGGGAAAGGAAAAGGGAAATGTGTTTTGGAAATTGTCAAAAAGAAAGGCCAGTGAGCAAAAAGCTGAAGGTACTATATGCCAGAAGAATAAGTGAGACCGAAGATGGCATAGGACATTGTGTTGGCAATCACACCAGCAACGCACCACTCTTATTGACGGAGGAATGTGGAGCAGTGTTCCTGGGGGCCTCCAGCCTGCTTTGCATTCATAGGCAATTTATCCTCCTTAATCACTAAATCATTAATGGGGATCAATAGCAATACCAAACTAGTGAGGGCAGGGGTGGTTGCAGGGAGAATTATTGCTTAGTTTTAAATTCAATAGTGCTAACTAGGCTTTAAGTCCATTCTATGAGAGAGCCTTTCTCCAAGTCGCTGAAGACAGAACTATACCCACAAACGCAGCGAGAGTGAGTTGGGTGTTTCTTGTGAATTCATTTTTTTCTGGCCACTCAGGAACTCTGAATTATTAAATATATTTCACTGTTTAAATTTAGACTATTTCAGTTTAATAGTCTAGCTTTAGTGTCAGGTAGAGGTTCTGAAAGATTTAGATTCCCACACCTAGTACTCTGAGACAGCATTTAGGTATTCTCCTTGATTAGGTATCAGACATGTTTTTCACTTTTTTTTTTTTTTTGGAGAGGTTTTTGCTATAGGATGTATGCGCTCGCCAGAAAGACAAAGAGAGACAGAGAGACAGAAATCGAGAAATCACCACCCCCCCTCCAGGGGTGATGGCCATGCCGCAATCCCTTCTCCTCCATTCTCCACTTAGGATCTTGGACACATATGCACACGTGCCTGGAGTGAGTTTAAGCCACTGGGTCCAGGATTCGAACTGTGGTTGGCTACATAGGAGTTCAGTGACACAGTCATTAGACTAACTGCTGGCCCCAGGCCTTACCATCTTTTTTTTTTTTAATAATTATTTTATTTTGTTTATTTATCTTAATTTGACCAGAGAGGTACAGAATGAGAGAGAGTGAGAGAGATGGAAAGTGAGAAAGTAAGCCACCAGGTCTAGGACTCGAACCATGGTCAGTCATGTGGGAGTTCAGCGCCCTTAGCCACCACACCACCTGCCGGCCCCGCCTTTTTTAAAATAATTATTTTATTTTGTTTTATTTTATTTATTTATCTTAAGGCCTTACCATCTTGAAGAAAAATTAAAAGCATCTATGGGTGTGTGTGTTGTGGGGGGGAGGGGTGGAGTGGGAAAGATGTTTCTGGATGATATCCATAGGTTTCTCTCTTTCTTAACATCTAACACCAAATTACATCTGGAAATTCTGTTTTATTTAATGTGATTGTTGTATTTTCTTTTAAATGCATAAATCCACTTAATTTAGTATAAAGAAATCAGTAAGTTTCTAATATCTTAGATGCTTTTAATAGAGAGCAAATAAACATGTTTAGGTTGTATTTTAAAATTAAATTATTCTTATACTATTTGCTTTGTAATTCTACATGGTCTTTTAGACCACTCAATATATAATGGACTAATTCACCAGAACTGATTTTTTCAGGGTAATAATGACCAATATACCTTCTCCTGGAGAGCTTTGGGCCTGGAGTCATTCATTCATCAATTTGCAAATATTGGTAATATATTCCCTCCATGGCCATGACCACCTAATTACCCATGCATAGTCCAACAATGTTAGTCACCCATTCACAAATATTAAGAGTCAGTGCTGAATTAGGCACTTGGGGATATGGCAGTGAAAAGGACAGACACAATCTTTGTGCTTAAAGAGCTGTCTAGCTGGGGCTGGCAGGTGGTGTGGTGGTTAAGGGCACTGGACTCCCACATGGGCGACTGCAGTTCGAGTCCCAGACCTAGTGGCTTGCTTTCTCATTTTCTCTCTTTCTCTCTCTCTCTCTTCCACTCTGTCCCACTTTGGTCAAATTAAAGATCTTTCTAGCAAGGATTTTACAAATTAGCTACAAATTAAAAACCAATCACAACTATAAAAGGTACTGAAGTAAGTCAGGGCACGATAAGACATAAAATATGGCTCTCTGACCTAGTCAGGGAGTGGGGAGACTAGCTGGTGGTTCTCTCTGTATACG